TTAGAATCAATTTTTTTGTTCACCATGATTCACTTAACATTCAACTCAATTTGATTTAAGAACCTGAAAATTATTAAATAATTTTTGTTACTCACTAGGTAAGAAGCACACTAACAATATAATCTAATCTAATAAAGGACATATCATTTTCAATGGGTAAATAATAAAAAAATTAACATAACAAGCAACAGGTCAATAGAAATATAATATAAGAGTTTAAATAATTGACTGAGAATTACACAAATAGTTCCATTATCAGCATTACCAAGTTCATAGTCCAATTTTTTTTCCCCCAAATAATAAACCCTAACTCTTCAAGAGAGAGAAAGAGAGAGGAATTTTTATTTTTTTTGAAGTCTTACATTATACTCGCCACGTTGTCATCATACCCACCGCACTGTCACATTTGAGAAAAGTATACTAAAGAGTTTTTAATTTTTTTTTAGAGTGTTATATCATACCCGCCACACGTTGTCACGTTTGAGAAAAGTACATTAATGAGATTTTTTTTTTGAAGTGTTACATCATACCCGCCACGTTGTCGCATTTGAAAAAAGTATGCTAAGGAGTTTTTAATTTTTTTAGAGTATCACATCATACCCGCCACGTTGTCACGTTTGAGAAAAGTACAGTAAATAGTTTTTATTTTTTTTGAAATGTCACATCATACCCGCCACGTTGTCACATTTGGAAAAGTGTACTAAGGAGTTTTTATTATTTTTTTTTTTTGAGTAAAAGTTTTGAAGTATCACATCATATCCGCCACGTTATCACATTTAGGAAAAATACATTAAGGAGTTTTTTTTTTTTTTTTTTGGATTGTCATATCGTTAGAGTGTCACATCCATACTTGTAACATTGAAGTATCACATCATACTTATTACATTAATAAAATGGTATAGTTGTCTACCAAAATACTACCAAAATAAAAAATATGACCGTACGGAAAGAAACTCTCCACCAATAGGACTTAACAAATCAATAGAAAAGACTTGGGTCTAATTAGAGTACTTGTTTGTGAGATGAGATTTATTGGTAAATATTCCAATATTTCAATTATCAGATCAATTTAACTTTTGTAATGAATAATATATATGGGGAGTCATACAAAATAATTATCGAACTGGGATTTGTGATAGGTCCTATGGACCCTTCAAAACCTAACCTGAAAAGAAAGGAATTGGGAAGGCTGCTGCGCATCCCGCGCAACAACATCTGTTGTGTGGCTAAATAGGCTCATTTTGGGGCCTATTTTGATAATCTGAACCGTTCACATTTTAGAATACATCAAGAGAACATGCCTGCAAAAAATCAAGTTAATCGGATATCGTTTACTTATTCATCTACTAACATTTATATTTATTTTAATATTTTAAGTCACAATTACTATTTATTTTTGTAGATACAAATGTGAATGGATAAATAAGTAAACGATATCTGATTAACTTGATTTTTTGCAGACATATTTTACTTTATGTATTCTAAAATATGAACGGTTCGAATTATCAAAATGGGCCTCAAAATGGGCCCATTTGGCCGCATAACAGATGCTGTTGCGCATCCCGCGCAGCAGCATCTCCAACTCCGAAAAGAAAAAGTTTCAATAATTCATTTTTTTTAATAAAATTTTCATTAAATCCTATTAACATCTGTTAATAAGACTAATAATGTGTTAATAAGGCCTCGTTTGGAAACATGCTAATTTAGTAACTTTTTGGCTAATTGGCTAAAAAGGTAGGTAAAAAAAACTTGTATGTTTGGGATGACTTTTTGACTAATTACGAAAAGCTGTGCAAAAAGTAGAGAAAAGCCGTAATTGTTGACTTTTTGGTATGACTAATTGGCTAATTGGCTAATTTAGTAATTTTTGGCTAATTGGCTAAAAAGGTAGCATCCCAAACGAGGCCTAAGACTCAATGAAAATTTGTAGAAAATGTAGGATTTATTGAAAATTTTCCTATTCATTCTTGGGACAATAAGTGATATTCATTTTAAACCCCTAAACATCATAAATTTTCAATCAAATCCCCTATGTAACATTCCCCAAAACATCAAACACAAGATAATTCCCCAATCTCAAATTTCTTAGGAAAATGATTTTTGTTTCTCGAAACATTTGCCACTAATATCTTCACTTTCTTTGTTCTTATATATTTGACAATGATAAGTCTTTATTCAAGGGATTTAGTATGACTCCCCGTGGTTGGTTTTTGCTGCTTTCGGCCTAGCACAAACAACATTGTGCTGTTGTTGTTCTTGTGGACCTTGCTTAGAGCGTTATTTGAGTCATTGGGTTAATCAAGTAGATTATTTTTATAAAAAATTAATTTGATTGAATATTGATAGTTATCAATTTAAATTACATTTGTCTTGGAAAAAAATGGATAGTTGGCCTTGTCTAAAAAAATTACAATCTATTTTTTTAAGACAAATATTTTTTGAATATACAATTATTAATACCCGATCAAATTAATATTTTTATAAAAATAACTTACTTGATAAACCATACAAACCTAATTACTCATTGACGTGAGGCTCGAGATGGGGCTTACAAAGCCAACAACACGGTACTATTGGGCTAGGTCAACAACAACAAAACCAATCCCTGAATCCACGAACACTATTTTATGAGAGGTCTGCTAATAATAAGTTATATAAAATATCAAAATATTTGTATACATTTTAAAATTTTTAACACACTTTTTATATATTTGTCTACAAAAATGGTCCGTAGTCCGAAAAACTGAGGCTCGAATGGTACGGAAAATATTATCTTACCGGTAAGAGAATAAAAAAAAATCCTAAAACGACGTCGTTTTGAGATTTCGAACCATTCGAGCCTTTAATTTTTCGAGCTCCGTAGCGGCGTTGATTTGTCTAATACTAACAAAAACTCTAAGAAATAAAGACTGCTTTTAATATTTTCCTTTTATGAATTTCATTTATGTATAGTCCATATAAACAAAACAATCTCATTGATATTTAGTAACTATTAATTTTTTTATTAGTAATGTTAAGAATAGTAATATTAATAAACATATTACCTAAATTTAGTCAGCCACGGGAGATACTCGTATAATTTATTTATTTTTTCCATTTTTGTTATATTTTATATATGTTTGATTTTGTATTTAATTTTTTTCTAAAAGAAATTTTAAATAAATGAAAAATTACAAATCCATAAAGTGTTAGAAATAATTATAAATTTTTTGAAAACTTTATACGTTTAATTATTAATATTAATAAAAAAAATTTACAAAAAACTTTGGGGCCCACAGCAGCTGGCAGTTGAGCCAATTAATCTACCGTTCACCTACGAGCCACTTGTAGGTTATCAAACGAATATGCTAAACCATGTATTAGAAAATTTATTGGGTGGTACTGGGGCATGGGTACGTACGTGTTAAATTGGGTGTTATTGGTTAAGGCAATGAAAGTCATCAATTTGTTTGGTTCTAATTTTCTGAATTTAATTTTTTGAAAATTGAGTCTTTTTTTCTTTAGTAAATTTTTTTAATATTTTAAATAATTTTTTTTTTTTAGATACACTTAACCTAGATGTATCTAAAAACTAAAATATTTATAAAAAAATATTTTAAAAAATCAATAAATACAAAAGAATACAAAAATGTATTGATTTTTTATATTTCTTTTTTAATATTTTTGGTATTTAGTTAATTTTTCAAAGATTTTTTCACAAATATTATATTTTATAATTGTATTTATATTAAGTGTATTTAAAAAATAAAAAAATTATTTAAAATATTAAAAAAATTCACTAAAAATAAGAAATAAGAAAAATAAAAAATTTAATTTTCAAAAAATTAGAACCAAGCAAAGTGACTTTTTCAATAATGCTAAATATAAATGTCTCATAAGAGATAGAGTTGGACTTGGACTTATGAAATAGTTGTGTCCTATTATATATTTGATCCCATGTTGACTTGGACTTACTAAGGGGCTATTTGGGATCTCCCAAATAAACGACCTCTTTTTATTGGATTTTTTATTTATATAATTTTAATGACTTTTTTTTTAAACATAAATTATGTCAATTTTTTATTTTTTTTTCATCTTGTGTAGAGCAATCTAAAAAATAAAAAAATTCTGGAATTTTTTTTAAAAAAATTGAAAAGCCAAAATAAGTAAAAAAAAAAAATTCTATTTTGACATATTCTTTTGTCTTTCATGAATTTTTTTTTTAAAAAAAAATTTCTATTCACCTCATTGAATAGAATCTAGAATCATAAATTTTTCTTGAAAAATGTAAAAATAAAAGTTACCAAAAACGAAAATAAATTAGTAAAAAAGTTACTAAAAAAACAAATTCCAAACATTCACAGGACACAAATATCTCACGAAAAAAAAGTTATTTAGTGGTTCGGAAGCACAACCACATGATGTCCCAAAATATTCTAATTAGTTAAAAAAATAAGACTCATAATTTTTTATTTTATGATTAGAGAACAATAAAAATATAATACATGATAATTAATAAGAAGTACAAAGCACTGAATAATTATTCCTCACAAAGAGTGAGTCTCATACCTGAGGACACATTTATGTCTCGCCTCATTTTATGTTTGGCCATCTGTCTACATATACGGTACATTGTTAAATTTTAACAGATAAGTTTTGAGGTGGCAAATTATGGGCGGAGACTAAGGGTATGTTTGGTTTGACTTTGTAGAATGATTTTGAAAATTTTTTTTTAAAAATTTTGTTTGATTTGTAATTTTTTTTAAATAATTTTCAAAATCACTTTTTATTTCTTACACATCAATTAATCACTTTTTCTCTTACAGATATTTACTTAATTACAACAAAATATTAAATTATTCTAAACTCTCAAACTCCAAAACTACTTTCAAAATACACAATTAAACAAACTAAAAAAATTTCTAAACACTCTTCCCAAAACAATTTTAAAAAATTTTTACTCTCTCAAAACCAAACCAAACCAAACCAAACACACCTTAAACAATTTTTCAACCTAAGGATCCTGTGCGTTACTCAGATTTTAAAATCTCTACTCACTCTCTCTCTCTCTCTCTCTCTCTGTCTCTCAATCTATGAATATAAATACGTTTCCACACACGACATTGTTACACGCCTCACAGTAGTATCGAGCGAGCGAAGCAGATTTGGAGTATGGGTTTGAAGGTTAGTTTACTATAATACTCTCTCTTACGTGATCGAATCAAATTGTTCAATTCTAGGCTCTTCGTATCTTCATTTTTAACTGTTCTATATCACTCCTCTTTACTCGATTTTGATTAATTTCTGTGTTTCTGTTTCTTTTCTTTTGAATGTCGTATTCTGGATTTGCATGCTTTATGCTTGGAGTTGGAATTGAATGGCCCCATATTTTTTTTTTCTGTTTTTTTGTTAGATTTTGTTCATTGTAGTGGAAATTAGTCCAGATCTAAGTGATTGTTCTGGTTCTGATCCAAATAGTTTTATTATCTAATTAGAAAAAAAAAGGTTCTTTTTTCGTTTTTCTTTTCGATTTAACCGTTTGGATTGAGTGATTTGGGGAGAAAAGCAAAGAAATGGATTTTTTTTTTTTATAAGCCAAAAGAGATGGAAATTTCTTGGTCCTAATCACTTGTTTGGATTGATTACTAAAGAGTGGAGAAATGGGGCAAAAAGGGAAGAAATGGAAAACAATTTTCTCTCAAATTTTTGAATATCATCACAAGTAGAGAGATTTTGAGAGAAAATAGGCTGTGTTTGGTAGAACTTTCCAAACATGATTACACACCCCGGTTTGAGTGCTCTGTTTGTTTATAATTTTCAAAAATTGATTTCATATCCATTTTGGAAAACACATCTATCCGGTCTTCCTCTGTGACGTCGTCCGGCCGGTTGACAGGCTAGTTGACCGGAATAGGAATAGTGTTTGTGTTTGTGTTTTTTTTAATATTTTAAATAAAAAATATTTTTGAAATTGATTTTTTTTTTTTATGAGCTTTGAATAGAATTTTGGGTTGTGTGTTTGGTTATAAGTTGTAAGTTTTTTAATCAAATATCATATGTCACATCACTAAATTCAAAACTCTTTTCAAAACTCATAACCAAATAAATTTTACACACTCAAATCATAATTCCAAAACTCACAAATTCAAAACACAACTCTATTATCAAATCATAATTCTAAAATTCTACCAAACTCTACCTATAATTTTCTTATGGTTTCCCAAACGGAGTGTTTTTGGGTTTTCATAGATCCGTTCTTAGTTTGGTCAATAATTCTAATTCATTGTAGATCTTCTCTTGATTAGAGAGAGAGAGAGAGAGAGAGAGAGAGAGAGATGCATATGCATATTATGTACATGGATATTTTAGTGGACATAGGCAATTTAAGTTTTTTTTGATCTATCAGTTTTTCCTTGAATTCTTAACTCATTGAAGGGGCAATCAACTTTGTTGCTAGTTTATCATATAGATTTATAATCTTTACTCATGGGTAGAGAGAGACTTCGTTTTTATGTTTATATTGTGTTCTTGGCATGCTTTTCCTTAATGGTTTTGATGTTGCACACCAAACCACGGCTAAAGTCCCACAAATTCTTGACATTATGTCAAGCCATTTCCTTTGGCATCTTACACGATAAACCTGCTGATTGGAACTAATTTTAGCATATATCTAAGGAATGCCAACACCCTTTCGTAATTATAAATGAACATTTTCTTGGTGTGGTTGGCCTTCTCAACTTTTTTTTTGGTCCCTAGATCTTTGGATCTCTTTCTAAGTATCTATATCTTCGTAATACATTAAAAAATGCTCCGCTTATGAGAGCGGTATGAATTTCAACTCCTACAATTTTTTCAGATAACTAACATTTATATCAAACATTTTTGGGCCCTGCAGGAGGAATTTGAGGAGTATGCTGAGAAAGCTAAGACCCTGCCCGAGAGTACTACCAATGAAAGCAAGCTTATTCTGTATGGATTGTACAAGCAAGCCACTGTCGGACCAGTGAACACTAGTTAGTATTTTGCTCCTGTTAAATATGTTTCCTATAATGTAAAACAGTTTGATTTAGTTGCTTATTTTTTTTTGTTGTAATTCAATCTTAAATTGCTTGCTACATCTGATCTATAGGCCGTCCTGGTATGTTCAACATGAGGGACAGGGCAAAGTGGGATGCATGGAAGGCTGTTGAAGGTATTGGGTTGAGATATTCAGCTATGGAACAAAAGTTACGTTTGGTTGTGTTCTTGTATTCTGTTTTTATTTTCCTGAAAATACGAAAAGCTTGTTTGGCAAGTTATATGAAAACCAACTTTTTGGGATGTTTTCAAATCTTCAAATTCTGTTTTTCCACAACAACGAAAACACTCGAACATTCCATTGTTTTTGTTTCTGAAAACACAAAAAATGAAAATAAAGAACATGAAAACACAATATGATCAAACATTGGTCTTTTGTGTGCTTGAGTTTATTTGGCTCCTCACTATAAATTTAACCCGTGCATGGCAGGAAAATCCAAGGATGAAGCAATGAGTGATTATATCACCAAGGTGAAACAGTTGTTGGAAGAAGCTACTGCCTCTGCTTGATTTCAAGAACTTGCTGTGTTTCTTCTTGATAATTTTGGTTTGCGAAAAAAAAAAAAAAAAAAGAATTGATGGAAGATAATAATAATGAACATTGTAGTTTTATCTACTAGTACTGTATCCTTTATGAATTCTGTGTGCGTGGATCAGGTATATTAGGGTTTAGTGGACATGGATCATAGCTATTCCTGAGTCATGTGGGCAAATTCTGGAACAATTCTTAATATAGACTTTTGGAACATCTTTTGTCTTCCTTCTGTGTCTCTGTCTGCTTGATTGAAATGATGAAATGCTCTAGCTTGTACTCCTCTTTTTCACTTTGTTTTTATTTATTTATTTTTTCTTTTAAGTGGTCAAGTATGCAACTAAAATCCATGATTTTAGAACTCACAAGCTGATTCTTTTGGAATGCCGTTTGATTGCACAATTTCTTTCTAGAAATATTTCACAGAACCGGGTTCGTTTGGTTTGTATTTCTGAAAAATTTTTGGGAAATTTTTTCTACAAATAAGTTTTTAAAAAGTAATCAAACCAAACAAATTTTCCCAAAAAAAATTCTCAAAACTTGTAAACCAAACAAGTTTTCCAAACAAATCTCTCTCTCACACGCATCAAATCAATTACTTTTTCCAAAACTCTCTCTCAAAATAATTTTCCAAAACATCTTTTGAAAAAAACCAACCCAAACAACTTTTCGTACTTTTTATCTCTAAAACACATCTCTCAAACACAAACCAAACATACCATAATGTCACACTAAAATTTCTCTAAGGGTGTAAAAAGACCCAAATACCCAAATCCTATAAGAGAAGAGTGGCATTTATATTTTGATGCGGCATTAATGGTATCCATAAATTACTCTGAAATATGTATGGCCAAAAGTACTGATATCAATTACAAGCCCTAAGCTTCAGGACTAAGTTCTCTTAGGGTTTATTTTACTTATTTAATAGTGTTTATACAGAGATACGTATGTGTATCGATTAAGTGCTAAAACAAGAAACTATTTGAAAAAACTTTATTAGAAAGTGATGAAATAAAGACATTCATGGAATTGCAAATAACCATGGCCAAGTTCGGGTGCTACTATATAAAGTGTACAGATAAATTTCTCTCAGCCAATAAGCCAGATTTCCACCAAATCATACCATGTTGGATCAGTGAGCTCCATGTGGGGGCCGCTAATTCAATCATTTGACTCGGTGATATACACATCTTTTTCCATACGAAATTTATTTAGAACAGAACATTTACACGAGTTCTTCATTGATGTCTCTATTCTACAACATTTTTTTTTCCCTTCTAAGCTCCAGTTGTGTTAGTAATTCGCTAAAAAAGGAATACATATATTTGCTAGATCAGGATTCATAGTTGAGTCATGATTTCTCTATTGAACAGAAGGATATCTGGATATATAATATTCCCTTACTCGAGAGGCGCCATCTCTAGCTTGAATCCCTTGAAGATCTCCAATGATTCTAGCCAACCATATCTCCAAGTTCCTCTGGATTTCTTTGAAGTTGTTTTTAATTGAGTCCAAGCACCGCTGTGTAGTCAGTTTGGTGTGACCTTCAAGCTCATCCCCAAAATCGCTCTTTCCCGTCTCAGTTTTCAATGCCATCAGCTTTTGTCCAGTTTCAGATGCATGCTGCTGGAGACGAAATGCTTCAAGCAAAAACTCTGTTTGCCTTTGTGCTCGAAACTCCGAGCTCAGTGTGGGTTCACGTGGATCACTTGTTTGCTATATCAAGCAAGACAAACATTGTCACTAACATTCGTCATTATAAATCAATATTACTAAAATAGACAGGTCACAATGCCCACGACAATGAGACAGAAACTAAAGGACCACGAATTATGACAACTGGATGATTGTACGAGTGAAACAGAGGAACCTTAGTTGCACGAAGCGGGGGCGGAGGCGGGAGCGGGAGCAGGAGCGGGAGAGCATGAGCCGATAGAAGTTTCTTCGGTTGGGAGCGCCTCAAGGAGCGCTTAGATATATATATATATATGTATATTATGCATATATAAATAAAATTAATTCAAAAATTTTGGAGTGGCTTTATTTAAATATATTAGTTTTGATGACTTACATTGCTACACAAAAATATAATAGAATCCCATAAGAAAATTCATCACTAATACAAAATATCATTAATTCTTAATCATCTAATCAAATAAAAAGACTTGACAATGTATAACTTTATTTGTTATATGTAAAATTAAAAACATATATATATTATTTATTTATTTATTTATTTTTAAGTTTTATTTGTTTACTTTAACATCAAATTTTGTTTACAAATTATTTTTTGTTACAAAAAAAATAATTTATTTTACGTATGTTTAAGTTGAGAAAATAAGAATATTCAAAAAAATAGAAAAAAAAAGAAAAAGAGGAAAGGAAAAAAAAAAGGTTTTTTTTTGTTAATATATATATATATAATAAGGAATTAGGGACATCAAACGAATAGAACAGAGGAGAGAGAAAGAGAGAGACGATTGCTCAAAAAGAAGAGAGAGAGACCATCGCGCAGAGTCGATGAGTTCAACACAAGCGAGAGACAAAGTCGAAAGCGAGAGAGAGACGATTGCGCAGACTCATGGAGAGAGATGAACAGAAGAAGAAGAAAAATAAAGAACGAAGAAGAATAACAAATTAGGGCTTCAACAGGTTCTTCTTCACTCTTTCTCTTCTATTTTTCTCTCTCTGTCTCTCTCTCTCTCTATATATATATATATATATTCAATTAGTTAGGGTTTTTATCTCTTTGTATTCGAGTTAGGGTTTTTTTCTGCGTATTCAGCGAGTTAGGGTGTATCTCTCTGTTTTGCTTTTCTTTTCCACCAACGATCCCATCTTGGACTGGATCGCGTTTCTCTCTCTGCAGAAACGCGATTCTTACATGTTTCTTTTTAAGAAACGCGGAATCGCGCTTCTTACGAAGATTCGTCACCTGGTTGCACGAATCCTGCAACTACAGTTCAAACTTCAATTAATATACCCATCCCAACCTCAATCCCAGAATTTTCACCCTGGTCTTCCATCAACCGACCATGAATTATGTCTACTGGATAAACAGCCAAGGGTTGTGCAAATTAGACAACTTACATTTTCAAATATTTGATCCTAACACATTTTGTGGATTAATGTAGTTTCTGGGATCATTGAAGAATTGCTAACATCTAACTTCTATTTCAAATAAATTTTCTACTAGAGAAGTTATTTAGTGCTCATGGAGCAAGGTTCTTTCTTAAAATTATGGGTGTTAACCGGCCTACTTTGACAGCCTGTCACATCACATATTATAGCTACTGTCGCATTTGGCAAAAAAGTTTTATGTTGTGCTATGGTAAAGTAAAATGATAAGCTTCCTAAACTACTTGAGGATGAAATACATTATATAAAAGCATAAAGCTGCAAAAACAGAGGCTGTTAACTTGTTATGCATTACCACTCTTTTGCATAGATCATCAATCTTCCGTGAAAGAGCTTGATATCTCTTTGCTTTTTTTCTCACCTGTTATGGTGGTACCTTTGATTGATCACCTTTACCAATTCTTTCCAATTTCATCAGTTCATGCTCAAGTAACTCTAGTTTAGAGGAGACACCTGTTGACTCACCATCCACCTTCCATGGGGACTCCCTTCTGAAACAACAAACATTTGTTGCTGTTTAATTAGTTACAGTATGTCGACATTATATGATTTCGTAAAGATTTTTAAGAAGACTGTTAGAATTTACCTCGATACAAAATGCTTCAAATGGCACAATGATTCAATAGATTCATACTGTACATCCTGCAACACACACACACACACATCAAAAAATAAAAAAAATAAAAACATCGGCAATCAACATACATGGGAAACCCGCTAAAGTGCTCTTTAGCAATCTGGATGTCCCATTGAAAGTGCCAAAATTAAACAATCCACCAAGTTGGTAATCTAAAATGAAGAAAAGGGTCAGGGAAAAGGTTAACGGTGCCTAGCAAGCAAATTTGAATGTAAAAAGTAAATCATCATTACCATTCAATTCATCACTCTTTACTTGATGAAACAGTATTTTTTTTTTTTTTTTAAACAATTATGTCAGAGAAACTATAGAATGATTTCAAATAGATGGAAATTGAGTTCAGAGGCCAACAGGTTCACATGCTTCACACCAACTCATCCTCTTCCAAAAGGACAAGTTCTAGTAGAAGAGCCATATGGCAATTTGGCAAATATGGAACATAGATATGCCTTCAGCAAGTGCAAAAGACACCATGTTTTATACCTCAAAAAAAAAAAAAAAGAAGAGGACAGAAATTGGATTGAATTACTTGCTGAAAAGGATATTTCAATAAGAATCCTGACATCACATAACTCAAAACTTCAAGAAAAAGAAAGCACAATCCGAATGAAACTAAGGATGTTGGAGGTTGAAAAAGCAGACGATACAAAAACAATTCAACAGTTGAGGTGTTCAAATTTAGAGCTTGAAACTGAAAATGCCAAATTGCATGAACAAGTTCAAGAACTATCATCACAAGTTACCGTGCACAACCCACATTGGGGATACGTAGAATTGGAGAATGGAAAGTTTAGTGGATGATGGAATGGTTTGCAGTTGAAGGACTTGGGGCAAGTAATCTGGATTTTGTTGTCTTCTTGGGCCGAGAACAAGTGAAGAAGAAGAAGATGAGAGGACAAAGAGAGCAAGAATGAAGGGAGCAGAAACAGCCATTTGAAAATGGAAATTCCCAGAATTAACCAAAAACCAAAACAACAACACACAAAAGCAAAACAAAATAAACAGGAATGGAATGCTCTTCCTTAAAACAGGGGTTTCCAGATGACGTCAAATATCTGGTCAACATGGCAGTCGACTTGGATGATTCCAAGCAGCTCTATTTCTTCATTGGAATGGTCACTGAGCAAAGATTACAAAGCAGGAGTTTCCCTCTCACCTTCTTAATTTATTGCTTCAACTAAGCCTACCACACTATTTACGAAGGGATGTATCATAAAAATAAAATTTCGTTACAAACCATTCTAATTATGTTGTGAACATTAAAAAATCTGGTAAATTACATTTTAGCTTTTTATGTTTGATTATTTTTTCATTTTAATTCTTAAAGTTTATTTTTTTCGCACTTTAACTCTTTATATTTCAAGTTTTTCTCAGTTTATTTCTATATTTAATTTCTGTTTAAAATTAGACAGAAAATACCATAATAATTGTCATATAATATAAAAAAATATATTACTATAGAAGAGTGTTAATGTAAAATGTAAATTGTAAAATGTAAACTACCACCCACCTACCACCTCCACTATCACTCACTCCACCTACCACCTCCACTACCACCCACTCCACCTACCACCTCCACTACCACCTTCACCTACTCCTAAATCCTCTCCTATATAAATCCTTGTAATATACACAACACACACATCAATCAATACAAATCAATAATATACATCAATTTATTTTACATGGTATCAGAGCTATAAGATTTAGGCCTATATTCCTTTCTTTCCGGCGGGCAGCCGACCGGCAACCATGCCTTCGCTGCCCGTTGGAGTTTTTCAACACCTCCAAAGAGTATGGCTCAATCCCAAGCTTACTTCCATCAAACACAGTCTCAACAATATACCCACTCTCAAACTTCATCTCTCTCTCTCTAAAAAGAGGAGACCCAAACACCACTCAAGAAAGACAACTCCTCCTTCCTCTCGGCTCTCTCCAGATGCATACACAACACACACAACAGAGTGTTCTTCCATGGAGATTAGTTTGGGCAAGCTTACTTCAATGGAGATTCACCAAGCCCTGTCGAAGACCCCATCTCCGGCGATGACGTCATTTCCCGTTCAATCCAGAACGTCTCGGACACCGTCTCTCGTCACCGCCCATGGTCCGACTTCCTCGCTGTCGGGGTCTTCGACAGCCCAGCATCCCTCTTCGCCGCCAGCCTCCGCCTCCATAAGCACTCCAAGTACTTCAGCATCACCTACGCGATTCTCATCTCGATCTGCGCCGCCTTCTCTATCCTCCTCACTCCGATTTCTCTGATCGCCTACGCCGCGGTCTTCGCCCTCTCGAATGGTTCCCACCGCTCCTCGCTTCAACGGCATGTGTCAGAATCTTCAGCTTCGATTGGCAATCCTTCACCCTCTGCAATTCTTCAAGAACCCTCAAGGCGGCATTTTGGCTCGGCCCTCTGCTAACTTGCGGAGTCGGTATCTTCCTCGTCTCCATTGGCTCCTCCAGAAGTTTGGCCCTCTGCTAACATGTTCTTGTCATACGGCACTCACAGCAAACACACTCACTTTGTTTTCTCCACAATGAATATTTAATGGATGCAGATCACAATAGAGATAACAAATGGTTTTAAAAAATAACAACATTTTTCCCCCCCTCCCCCTCCCCCCTTCATTATTCTCCCTTTATTTCTCTTTATTCTACACTCCTTGTTCCTCACTTTCTTTATTTTATATGTATATATATATATCTCTTTTCATCTCTTTCAAAATCATCTCTCTCTACTCAAGTCCATCCCCGATATGCTTACTTTCCAACCCATCCCTCCAACACCTTTTGAACATCCATCCCCTTTTTATTTTTTATTTTTTATTTTATTTTTTTCACCCAAAACATGCTCATCTACAAACCCAACACCCTCTCTCTCCACTTTATCACATGCGCTTGTCCCCTCTCTCTCCTCCGTTTGATTTCAAAATCATTTTTTTTTTCTTTATTTCTTTTTTTCCACAACACTTTTAATCTCTTTCAAATTCCCAACCAAAAAAAAAAAAAAAAAAAAAAAAAAAAAAAAAACAAACAATTATTTATATATATTGTAATATTGATTTCAATTTATAAAATAAAATTTATATATTATTAAAAATTATATATGTTTAATGTAAGTGTTGAGAGCGTGTGTGAATGATGCGTCGTGTGTGTGAGGAGAAGAGAGAGAGAGTGTGTGTGTGTGTTTGTGAGTGCGTTGGATGTTGTTTAAAAATCTATTATTGAAGCGTGATTTCTATTCACGCTTTCTTTACAACATAGCTTAATTAAAAAAGCGTGGTTAGAAATACATTTTGAAGAAAAAAAAAATTATTTAAAAGCCGTAGGTTAAAAGCAACGCTTTATTTATTAAATCAGAATTTCTTTAAAAACGTTATTTTGCAATTTTTACAGATTTTTTTATATATGCAATTTTTAAATTTTTTACATTGAGTATATACAAAAGTGAAAACGTGATTTCTTCTGTATTTACTTATTTTGAGAAATTCGTCAAAATTAGACGTTATATTAGTTTGAGAAATAGGAAAAGCCCCTGGAACATAGAGACCTCCGTCGATTTCTCAGCCTGCATTCCAAAATCATGCAACCATCCTTGCTCTCAACTTCCAATCTCAGAACAGAGCCTCCGTCTCAAGCTTCTGCGAATCGGAGCACCTGTCGTGAGTCAGGTTCTCCACTCCACGGCGTGAGAGAGGACTCAAAGGCCAACGCCGGGTGGTTTGGAGATCATTCGCCAGCCACCGCACTACTGGCAGGAGGCGAGGAGAAGTCTGCCTCCTCCGTCAGTATTTGGATTCCGGCCGAGGAGGAAATCACGCGCCTCCGTTGCGACGGTGGAGGAAGCTCAGAGAAGTCCGAGGCTGAGATGAGGCAAAATGTTGAGAACTTCAGGAGAGTAAGAGGAGAGGAATCATGAAATGTTGAAATTTCATGGCGCGAGGTCGGAGTTTGAGGAATTTTTTTTTCCGATTGTGGCGTTTAGAAGGAGAGGTGTTTGTAAAATAAATTGATTGTATTATGATTGATTTGTATTGATTGATATTTTAGATTGTGTATATTTAAGGAGTGTATATTAGGAGAGGATTTGGGAGTAGGTGAAGGTGGGTAGGGAGGTGGTAGGTGGAGTGGGGTGTAGTTGAAGGTGGGTAGGTGGAGTGAGTGGAGTGGAGGTGGTAGGTGGGTGGTAAGTTTACATTTTAACAAAATTTAAGCAATTTTACATTAAACAGCCCCCCTCAAACTCAAGGAGGATAAGTTTGGAGAGAGTAACAAAACGAAAAATTAAGCTGACAATTAAAAATGGGAATAGGAGTCACTGTAATGGTCGTGTGCGGACCGTATTGTTAGCAGACAGTTTACGGGGTCATGTCGGGACGTTGTAGAGACACTGTGTGGTCGTGTCAGACGACTAGGGAAGACAGTTTATGGGGTCATGTCGGACCGTTTGGTAGAGACAGTTTATATGGGGTCATGTTCGGACGGTGTAGAAGACAGTTTACGGGGTCATGTCGGACCGTTGTAGCAGGACACTGTGTGGTCGTGTCCAGACCCGTTGTTGTGTAGAAGCTAACCGGAATAAATGTCGGGGCGTTTACGCGGGTCATGTCGGACCGTTGTAGAAGCTGACGATCAATGTCGGGACAGTTTATGGGGTCATGTCGGACCGTTGTAGAAGCTGACCGGAATCAATGTCGGGACAGTTTATGGGGTCATGTCGGACCGTTGTAGAAGACAGTTTAGGGTCATGTCGGACCGGGTAGAAGACAGTTTATGGGGTCATGCGGACCGATGTAGCAGACAGTTTATGGGGTCATGTCGGACCGCTGTAGAAGACACGTGTGGTCGGTCAGACCGTTGTAGAAGATTGTGGTGGTGCACCAAGGGGTGACTTAGGGAGTGCGCCTTGAGCGACTTATACATGATACTGTGTATAACCCCCCCTCAAACTCAATAGGTGTGAAGATAGAAACCTATTTGGGTTGAAACAAAGGGATTGATAAAG